CATTACACTGTAACAGTTTGTAAGYATGGCATGTTCTTATAAACTGTACATTTTTCTGCTACTTTTTTTGCTATGTCTACAAAATGACACCAATCAGTCCCTTTAGTCTACCCAGGACCAAAGGTATCATTTAACAACAAGAAGAAAAAACAGAAATCCCAAACTAACAAAAAAGCATCGTCACCAAACAAACAATCAAAATAAACACAAAAAAAAAAAAAAAAAAAAAAAAAAAAAAAAAAAAAAAAAAAAAAAAAATAAAAAAAAAAAAAAAAAAAAAAAAAAAAAAAAGACACTCTGCTCTGGACTGCATAACTGTTCAGAAAAATATCAAAAGGAGAAACCAAGATCCCTACAGACTGATACTTTAGAAGTTCAAGTACACTTTTTTTATATGCTTCCATGTAAAAATATGCAGAGGGTCCAAATTTCTTAATAAAAATTGAAGAACTCTTTTCATAATCTGACTATTTGGATGCTCTTTAATGTCATTCACGCATTCTGCAAAAACGCTGACATTCTCCCCAGCCATATTAATCAGCTTTYAGTAAAACTATCTTATGCAACCACAATTTTTGAAAGCTTCGTGAGGTCCTTTCTGTGTTGGAACAGAAGTAATAAACCAAATCAAGAYCATCTTAAGATATTGTGGAGATTTCTTTTCCTGGTTTGGTCTTTTATCAGTTTTTAAAATAAACGGTATGTGCAAGAAGATTTCAGAAGCAAAGCTCAGAAAGTTTTTCTTAGTTGAAGGCCACAGGTGCAYAGAAAACTAGAATTTGCTGTTTATGCCTAGCAACAAATAATCCTCTAAAAGCATAAGAAATACTTAGTTCATCCAACTGCAGATTGAATAACTGTCCTCCATTAAAAATCATGGTGTAGATTTACTACAGTTATTTGAACAAACTGTATGATGATGACAAACATCTACATAATGCACAGACATCCTACACATGTAAAATGAAATGCAAAAAGAAGAAAATTCTTTTGGGTTTTTTTTGTTTGTTTTCTGAGGGGGGGGGATTGTTATTGCAGTATAAACCAGCCCAAAAGATTCACACCTGACTTTATTACRACATCTGAGAACACTTGGCATATATATGCTTTCCAAATACTTAAAATATAATCATCATAATCATCTTACATAAAAGTGCTCCACAACCCCAAGACAGAAACACCRTATTAGCAAACAAGAAATAAGAAAACATACCTAAATGGCAAGATGTATAAATAAATTCTTCTACACAATTCCTAAGAAATAATAAACTGTACACAACAATCTACACATTTAATATCTATTAACTCTTGAGAGTTAAGACTGAAAAATAGATTTAAATCCCAAATCACATGTTGGATAACCCAGTGCATCTCCAACAAGATAATCATTTGCAGATTTTTATACAAGGGACCCAGTTTCACCACATGCTAAGTTTTATGGTGAATTTTGCAACACTGGCAAACAATTTCAACTTTGTGACAACTTTYACCATTCTTCCCTCCTACCTTTTCATGCCTTTCCAAAATGCTGTATTTGGCAATGCTCAAACCTCTGAAACCCCAAGTACAGAGCACTGGCTCAACTCAGCCCCCCTCTGGTATGGCACTGCTCATAGAAGCCATCTGCACCCCTGCTGGGTGCATTCACTGTGTGATATTAATGGACAGTGGCTCAGGGAGTCTGGCTGGCAGGACATGTGTGACAAGGACATGGGGGATTACAGAACCTGGCAGAACTGCATCTGTAACATGCAGGTATTAGGAGGCATGGAGATAATCCACTGGAGGGGTGTTGCTAACCCTACGCGTTTGAGCAGACAGATGAGGCAATAATTTCATTTGTGGCAAATAGGCAGGAAGGTGACAAGCCTTGCCTTTGATCCCCAGACTGATACATCAGCTTGTACTGTGCCACACGCCAACCAATTACATTAGAATTATTCAAAACCCAGAGTTGCAGACCAAAGACCTTCAGAATTAGACATGCCCCTCAAAGAAATCTAACCCATTRAAATAACTGCAAGGTAAATCAAACATGAAGAAACAGCAACAGGTGTATAAATGAAACATCACTGTGCTTGGAACTGTGAACTAGAACAAAAGTAACCTCAGTGACAGGGCTTTTCAAAGGGGAGGAGGTGTCATTTCCTCTGCCATTCCATTTGAAAAACATAAAAAGAGCAAAGTTAAGAAAAGAAGAAATACAAAACAAAAGCAGTAAAACCTTATTAATAAAAACTATATAAAAACATACTAGATAAAATTATTTTACTCCCTTAAATCATAATAAAAAAGGTAATTACACTCAATTTCTTTTCTTGGCTGAAGATGTCAGGAAAAATTCAAGATCTGTAGCCTTCAAAAACCTCCTCCATTCTCTGAAAATTTACTTAAACATCTTCCTTTTCCTTGCAGATGGGTTGAGGCTTTGTAYTCTTACTCTTGAGAGAACTGATCTCCAGCCACCAATCTCCACTCTATACCATTGTACCATTTACTCCTGTAAATTCAGCTTTTCCTACTTGAGGGTGAAAACTGCAGGTGCTAAGAGCAAAGGCTCACATCATGGAGCTACCCTGACTTTTACTGCACAAATATCTCCTAGCTTTCTATATGGAGGCAACTGCTTTTTAAAAGAGTGACAGCAGAAAATGTCATTGAACCTAAATTCAGCAAGGCCTGCAGTGCTCCAGTGTCCTTTAAGCAGACTGGAAACATATGGGCTAGATAAGTAGACAATAAGCTTGGAAAAAGTCACCAGACCAAAATGGCTGTGGTGWGTGATACAAAACCCAGCTGGCAGCTGCCTACTGGGGCCATCCCCCAACTGCTGACCCTGGAACAAACACTTTAATATCTTTATTAACCTGAACACACTTTCAACAAATCTGCAGATGATATTAAACTGGATTTGTTCACTCTTAAGTTACAGCTAAAGCCCGTATTCCCAATTAAAGGGAGAAATTCTACTGCTGCGTTCGGTTAGCTAATGAAAAGATAAGATAGAGCCAGGCCCCCTTCAGAGAAGCATAGTGATAGGACACAAGGTAGTAGCCATTAAGTTTCAATAAGTCAAAGGGGAAAAAAAATTCACAGTAAGAGTCATCAAACAGCAAAACAGACACCCAGAGAGGCTGCAAAATCTGCATCCTTGGGTATTCCAGAGTACTGATAAAAGGAAGCTAGAGGAGCAGAACCTTCTCTATATTTCTATCCTCTTTGCAGAACACACTAATTAATAAAAGTTAAGAAAACTACTGAGAATCRTGGAATGTGAACTAGTAAGTTAAACAGCTAAACAAGGAATATTTTGCAGTGTATTTGCCTTTTTGTTTCTTTTTCAAACAGAGTTAAGGTGTCATAAACGCCATAGTCTCCATCAAGCTCATTCCAGAATTTGTCTGGTAAAGGTCCTCGTAACACGTGCCAGCACAGTCCTACAACATTCATCTGTTCTGAAAAGTAGATGCAAGTCATCACTCTGCATTTCCCTGCTGTGCTGCRTGGCATGTACTATGAATTCACGTGTTTTTCTGCCTTCTTTGTGAACTATGCACTGGAGAACCTCTATTATATTTGCTCCCTGAGTTGTGAGGTGAGAAGACATTTACAATACTTCTTCTATGTAATCTTCTCTCTGCAAGGAGAATACCTTATTTCAATATCTAAATGTCAAAGTAAGTAAAAGAAACTGCACAGGATTATTATCTCCATGCTATAGTTGGAGCAGCAGAAAATTGACAGTTAAATGACTTTCTCAAAGTCAGAACAAGTAGCTGAATCAAGCAGAGGAAATKAATACAAAAATTTCCAACTTCCAGYTCTTGTATTGTCAGCGAGAGAGATAAGCAACAGCTCATCTCTGWAGTGAGCAGTGACAGGACCTGAGGGAATGGCCTGAAGCTGWGTCAGGGGARGTTTGGTTTGGATATCAGCAAAAGGTTCCTCACCCAGAGACTGTTTGGGCACTGGMACAGGCTCCCCAGGGCAGTGGTCACAGCACCAGCCCRACAGAGCTCAAAAAGCCTTTGGACARCACTTTCAGGCACATGGTGYGATTCTCRRGGGTGGTCCTGTGYAGGGCCAGGAGTCRRACTMAGTGATGCTTGTGGGTCTATTCATTCCTCCACAGAATATTCAGTGATTCTGTGATTTGCCAATAAGAGAGAAAATAAATATCCACACACAAAGTGTTTCTCCTGTTGGACAATATACGCTTATTTTTTTGTAGTTTCTACACATTCATGGTCTGAAATAGCTGGGGAGAGCCAGGYATAATAAGAAAATGAAAACTCTTTAAAAATGCAATGTAAGAAGCCTTGTTTCACACTAAACTAGGCTCCCCCCTGCCAAAGTGYTATTTCTTTTCCATTTCTAGATTCATCATCCCCCCATCCCAATACAAAAACAAGTTTTCTTGACTGCTAAATAGAAGATGACATGAGCAACTACATCATTTACAGGAAGAAGTCAACAAACACATTTTGAGCTTTAACAAGAGTCTTCATACTTTAGCATTAAAGGCAATTTAAAACAAGACTTGAAATGCTTCTGCAACCATTAGCCAAACTCAGTCATGACTTCTTCACACTTACTGAAGCTGGGGCAATCTTAATTTTACACGCATGCAGCCCTAAACGGCAGATTTGACCATTGAGGCACAGCCTCCTTTCCAAACCCAGCTGCCCTTTTCCTGGCCAGACAAAATGGTCAAGGTTCATTTGGCCAGCAAAATAAATAAAAAAAATTAGCTCTTCCAAAGGAGAAACAGACTGATTTTACACCAAATTATCAATTGATGCTCTAATTGGCAAGCTAGAGCTCTAAGACTCTTGTCCCTTCTAAGGTTCAAACATCAAATAATGGAAAAGCAAAGGCGCTTCCAAAGCAGGTCATGGGACAACTTGGCACAATCCAGCTAAAGCATTCAAGCAGATGGGCTACTGGCAGGCAGTCCACCCAGCAGAACACACAGATAAATCGTATTTACCACCTCTTACCTGATATGCGTTGCTGGTAGGGACTCATACTGGCGAGAAAGGAAAAGCTCTCTGTGCTTCAACTGATGTTTCTGTTTATCAGTCAAATCAACCTCAATTGTAGTTTCAGACTCTTCTTCAACTTCTTCTGCAGAGAAGCAGAGCGTAGGTCGAAATTAACTCTGTTGCATAACATCATTGCAACCATTTCACTTGACATCCCCCCCACCCCTTAGCAACCTCCTTTAGTATTTCAAAGAAAAGATGAGTTTAACAAGACGAACGTTTATGTAACTTGACAGAATGTTAAGTATTTTGAATTATACACTTCTACTTCAGCTCTTTAAAAAATTATGCTCCTCTCCTACTGTACTACGCATTGATGTCTTTCACACAGCCTAAGAACAATCCTGTCAACATTACTCACTATTTTTCATCCTCTTTCCTCTGTTCTTTTCTTTTGCTTGATGACCAATTTTGGGTTTGATTTTCTGTTGCAAATACTACTAGTACTAAAACTTTTACAGAAGTCCTAGAGAAAAGCACACTTTCTATGAACTGAAATTTACTAAACACAATTGCAGTCTAAGACTGCAAAATSAGTCTAAGAAAACTGAAAAAGACAACTGTCTTCCATTATGTTAACCTTACTAGATAGCAACAACAAATGCAATGTGTTTGCATATTTGAATAAGATTCTGAGTTMTTTCTATTTTAAGCAAGACCAGAAGAAATAAAAACAGATACTAGAAAAAGTCACTTATAGAGTTGAACACTGAATGTTCACAGTGCTTGCTATCATGTCATACAATGGCAGGCTCTCCASAAGAGCTATCCTGGGATCTTGATGGCTGAAATCTGCCTTCCTAGTGGGTTCTTGGGACAAGTGGAACTTGAATCTGTACTTTTTCTAGCATCCCAAAAAGAGCAAAAGGTCTCTCTGAATAACGGATGCAAAATTAGAGATGCTTTAAATACTTCTCTACGATTTGGTAACTTTTTACCTGGTAAATTATCCATCATCTGCAAAACCAAGTGTAGTTTACAAAACACTTCTCAGAAATGCAACAGAACCTCAGCATGAGATAGTATTTCACGTAACTACCTACAACAGAGGGYCTCACCCACTCTACTAATAATAACCATTTTTACAACCAACCTACAGACACTATTTCAAAATGAAGCCTGCCTGCATCCTCATAGCAACCACAGTTCTCTCCAAATGCAACACTACTACTTTTTTAATCATGACTGTGTGTAGTTCATTCCACTTCTAAGAGTTCTTTTCACAAAAGTGATATAACAACACACCCTGATATAACCAATTTCYTCAAACCAAATCCCACTTTAAGTCTATCTTGCTGTAGACACCCCCATCCCCYTCCTTGTTTTGTCATGTTTTGTGGAGAGAGAACAAGAAAACGAAAATGAAAACAAGACTTTTGCCCGTCTCACCTGACAACCCACAGCTGTGTGGTGTTTTCTTGCTGGTTTGGGCTAAACCACACAGATGTTTCTAGCAATTAATTTCTACAACTTTTTATTACAGTAAGTGAYCATTACAAGCTACATTTTGATTCCCACATTCAAGCATTAATATTTCTTCTAGTTATCTTSGGTTTGGGGTTTTTTTCTAAGTAATTAAAGCATCGAAACACAAGCTGAAATTGTATTAGGTTAACATATCAAAAAAAATCTGACTGCAGAAAAGGCACAAAACACAGGACAATATGGGCCATTTAAAAGTGGTTGCAAGAAGCCAGAGATKATATTCCAGAGTTTAAAATGGCTTTAGACCATGGCTTTAGACCTATGCTTATCTCAATATCTTCCACAAGTAAGAATTCAAATTAAAAAGTAAAGAAGAAAGCCCACCATCTTTAATCAAATTTAGTGCACTAATCTTACATAAGACATGAAAATGTTGATCCAAGAGCCTGASGCAGAAACCAAATGTCTCTTAGATCCATCTCTTAAGACACTCCAAACCTAAACATGAACCAATGTAACTTTTTCTGTTGTATTTTTTAGAAATAAAACATATGTTTTACTCATGATGACCTGGCAAGCTCAGTACTAAGTAGAAAAAACCATGGCCAGACACAGAACAGTTCCCTACACTCAACACAATTTACCATCGGGATAATTTTACAATTTTCTGTTTCGTTTCAGCATTACAATATAAAACCAGTGCTAACAGTATATTTTARTAAAACAATAGTTTGTCCCAGCAGTCACACAAACCTGTAACAGGAAAGGAAACTAGAGAGCATAAAGAAGGGAGAAAGCTAAATTTGCTTGATGGCAATACAAAGAATTCTGCATCTGAAGGCATTTAGAGAGGAGCTTTTTAACCAAGTGTTTGCAATGAKCAGGCCTTAACATCTGTTAGAAGGGAAGTGCTAACAACCTTGCAGAACCTTTAAAGAACTTGTCACAGCTGACTTGATTAGAGCACATGTGAATTTCATTTGTCATCCAAGGAGAGATTATTTCTATCAAAAAGGTGAAATGGAAGGTACATACAGGAAAACATAAAGTAGCACCAAGGTAAAACGCATTTCAGCACTCAAGAAGGGAAGAAAAGCAATAGCTCAGAGTGAGCAAATATTTTTATGCAGATTTATAGTGATGACACAGGGCCTCATTGTTTCATGACTACAGAGAGAAAAAAATCAATTTAAAATTGTTCAGCTTAATATTATTATGAAAGTCTTAGGTATGACTGCAAAGATGAATGCAATCACTTTTTGAAAATTACACAATACCCCTTAGGCCTTGGGCAAAAATTAAGATAATGCTGGTTTGTAGTAATTTTCCTGGTTTACAAGAAGTATCTCATTAATTAAAAGAAAAATCCTGGTGAGCAAAAGCAGGCCTCTCCAGTGATTTTTTAAAGCTTTTGGTCTAATTCTTTATGTGTGGGCTTTCTAATCATTAATCGTAAATAATTACTGTGATCCTGAAAACCAGAGTGATCTGGTGATACTTTCAATGCTGCAACTTTCCCCTCTGATGTAAATGAGACTCARCTGAGTCAGTCAAGCAATGGATACTGGAAGAAACTGTAATCCTCACTCATTTYACATGTGCATCACCACTTTTAAAAACATGATGAACCCTCTCTTTTTTTCCTCTTCCATTTAATTTGTGGGATTTGCTGTTACAGAGTCCTTGTTTCTAGTTATGTGATGTGTCAAGCTTGCTATGAGGAAGAATTGCTTGGTTTTGCAACTGAAATGAAAATAAACTGAGGGTGAGTCTCAGAAACACAGTACTACTATTTAATATAAAATTCTTCTAAAATATCTTTTTTAAAGTCCTGAAAGACATTTAAAGGTTAAAATGCAACTCCAACAACTGTATAGTTAACAGCAAACAAGGTAAATTCCTCAGACATACTACTCTTCTTTAACTAACCCACCATGTGCTCCCCTTGCCTACTGCAACAGAAAGTTGGAGAGATTAGTTTAAACACTGGAGAGTGTCTTCAGCAAGGAGGCGTAAATCTTCATTACCAAAAGAAAGAAGAAAGTTCTCCCTCTACTGCCACCAAACTCCTGACAACATTCTTTCCAGCTAGAGCTGGAATCTGAAAATTCAACCAAATGTAATGGAAATAGAGTAATTCAGGCTGGAAGGGGCACAAACTACTCTTCAAAGTAGGCTCAGCTGTGAGGTCARCCCCTGGTACTCAGCAACTGAAAATCTCTGAAGACAAGAGATCACATAACATCTCCATCACCCAGTAATGGTGAAAAAAACAGTAGAAAAAATTTCTACTCATATCTAATCTGAATCACTCCCATTTCAGTATAGTCACTGCCAAGAGTTCAAGTCCATCTTCCAGTCTATAACTCCCCAGAGGCACTGGGAGTCCACCTCTTCCCCAAGCTGAGCAAGCTCAATTCCGGCTGATGCTCCTAAAAGGGCAAGTGCCCATCATGATGGCTTTTGCTGAATGTGTTCCAATTTATCAGCAACTTTCCTTTATCAGGAGCTAAAACKGGATGCAATATACCCAGATGTGATGCAAAGGGTGCTGAATAATCAGGGAGGATAATCTCTTGCCYTGATCTACTGGCTCTGTGCCTGGTGATACTGCCCTGGATACTCTTGGCCAACTCCCTTCATTGTCAGGGAGTTGTCTGCCAGCACCCTCAGGGCCTTTCCTGCAGAACTGCTCCCCCAAGCCCCTCCGCTCTCAGCTGATGTCCCTGCCAGGAGCTCTTCCTTCCCAGGTGCAAGACTTGGCATTTGTCCCTAATGAATACCTTCATGTTCTTGACATGCCACTCCTCCTGCTTTCTAGGAACCCCTGAAYGCCAGCCCTTCCCTCAAGCCTGTCACCTGCTCATCCCCCACKGCTGTGTCACCTGCAGACACAGTAATGCACCACACTGCCTGCTCCAGTCACCAGTAAAGACAGGTCCCCACAGCAATTCCCACGGGACTCCACACAGTGTAGATGCTTAACCATTGCCTTCTGACTCAGACCATGCAATTAGTATTTTGTTCACCCAGTTGTCCCTTAATCCAGGTTAATTCCAATTGTTTGGCCTGGTGGGCCTACCAAGAAAAAAAAAAGAAAAAACAAAGAAAAAGAGAAAGAGAAAAAAGCAGAAATAGGAGACTRGGAAGACATAACGGGAAAAAACAAGACTACTCCTTTCAGCAGCAGCACAAACCAACGATGAATTAAAACAGCAGAGCACCCAAAGCTACAGCGCATTAACTTTCTACCCCTTAAGTTAATTGCTTTTACTCTTGAAACCTTAGCTCAGCTTAGCTGCATCTGGCTTATGCAAGCTTAGGTGGAGAGATTTAAATCACCATCACCATTTGCGGAGTTACAGCCATTCCACTGTTTGTCAAAATACTTTAAAAATTGTATTGGATCAAAATTTCAAGTTCAAACAAAGCCTCACTGCCAGAAATGTTTCTAATTTTTTTCCTTTCCTGTATACCTTTTTCTTCTACACTYAGCCCAAAAATTATACACATCATAGGTATCAACAACATATTTTCAAACCTACAGATAAAAAGCTGAGAATGCTGAAAAGAAGCAAGTTTACCACACACATCAAAGGAAAGATGGCCRTGCATAAGTCTCTTTATGAGCCACATGGCTGTAGCAAACACTTCAAG